ATGCACACATTTGTGTGCAGGTGTGTGTACTCACAGAGGCCAGAGGAGGACATCAGGTGCCCTGTTCTATACTCTCAGTCTTAGTCCCTAGACACAGACTATCTCACTGAATCTGGAGCTAGGTTGGCAATCAGCAAGCCCAAGTGATCCTCTTGTCTCTGCCCTCAAAGGCACTGGTGTTACAGGCACATGTGTCCCTGCCCAGCGTTTTACATGGGTTCTGGGTTCCAACTCAATCTTCATGCTCATCTTCCACCCCCACCCCCATTAGGTTTATAACAGAACTTGCAGTTCATCAATATGGCTATTCTGGCTGGCCAATGAGCTCCAAAAATCTGTCTCTGACTCCCCCAGCACTAAGGTTATAGCTATGTGCACCACTATGCCCAGCTCTTAAGTGGGTGCTGGGGATCCGAACTCATATCCTCATGCTTGAGTAACAAGTACTTTCCCCTCTGAACTATCTTCCCAGGCCCACGAAAGCACACAATCACCAAACTATAACCAGTCACAAAGGTCTTAGGAAGGACTGTGACTGAGTAGTGACATGATGGCTGATCACTGATGACCAAGATTGATCTTTCCTGATTGGCCAGTCCCTGAGGGTCACAGGTTAATCTACTGACTCTACTGACTGGCTGCTGCTGTTGTAGGTCTGGTACATGGATGGCTATTACAAAGGCCGCCGGGTGTTGGAGTTCCGTACTCTGGGAGACTTCATCAAAGGCCAGAACTTCATCCAGCACCTGCTTCCGCAGCCGTGGGCAGGTACAGGCCATGTGGTATACAATGGCTCTTTGTTCTACAACAAGTACCAGAGCAATGTGGTGGTCAAGTACCACTTCCGGTCACGCTCTGTGTTGGTGCAGAGGAGCCTCCCGGGGGCTGGCTACAACAACACCTTCCCCTATTCCTGGGGTGGCTTCTCGGACATGGACTTCATGGTAGACGAGAGCGGGCTGTGGGCTGTGTACACCACCAACCAGAATGCAGGCAACATCGTGGTCAGCCGGCTGGACCCTCACACCCTGGAGGTCGTGAGGTCCTGGGACACCGGGTACCCCAAGCGCAGTGCCGGGGAGGCCTTCATGATCTGCGGCGTCCTATATGTGACCAACTCTCACCTGGCCGGAGCCAAGGTCTACTTTGCCTACTTCACCAACACGTCCAGCTATGAGTACACGGATGTGCCCTTCCACAACCAGTACTCACACATCTCCATGCTGGATTACAACCCCAGGGAGCGGGCCCTGTATACCTGGAACAACGGGCACCAGGTGCTCTACAACGTCACACTTTTCCATGTCATCAGCACTGCTGGGGACCCCTAGGTGCCCCTGCAAAGGCTGTGGGGAGCCTTCCCACACTGCCTGTGACTCCCTCAGCCTTCTCTTGGTCATGCCCTTCCCTTCCTAGATTCCTTCTCTCCCGGCCTTCCCAGCCCAGTTTTCTGTATCTCTATCCATGTGTTTCCTCCACTTCATTGATCTCTGCTTTTGATACTTCACTTCTGAGTCTGCCTTTTCATGGATGCTTCTCTTCCTTATTGATCGAACCTCTCTCCTTTCCCTGCCCTCTTTTCTCCCTGCCCAGATTCCCACACATTCCTTATCCCTCCCTCCCTCCCTCCCTGTGGATCTGAGTGCATGGATTTTTTTCTTTCTAATTTATTATTTATTCTTTCTGGGTTGCCAGAATAAACCGGACCTTTGACATTTGATGCTTGGGTTGTTTTGTACCCAGTGATGGTTACAAAAGGCAACTCTGAGTCGCTTTATTCTCTGTGCTTAGCATGATCTGAGGTGGAATCCTGGGACATCCCTTCTCCAGACTGGCTAGCCCTGGAGGAGCCCACCCAACTAAAGGTGTTTCAATCAAAAGCAATTCCTTTAAAAGCAAATGGGATCAGAACAGAGGATTCTATTATGGCGATGAAAACTGGCCTTAAGTGAATATTCCCTGGTTGCAGGCTCACAATGGCACATTGTTGAGCTGTCTGGTGGTCTAATGACTTCTTAATAATTTGGCTGCTTCTGAGAGGGGTTAAGGCCCTCCAATTTCTTCTCTGCTTTGTAATTGCAGAATTTGTTTCTACACAAGCCATGCTAGCTAACAGCAAGATTCAAACTAACTAAAACAGGTAGAGGGATGGTGACAGGACAGGGCTAGGCAGAGATACCTGGTGCTAACAATCCTGGGGGGGCAGGGAGGAAGCTTAATTAGGAAGCAGGGGCCTGCGCTGCATGGCCCCTGCTTCTTGAAGCTAAAAATGACCTTGAGCTTTGACTCTTCTGCTTCTACCTCCACCACAATGCCTGGCTTAAAAGGTGCTGAGGATGAAGCCCAGGACTTCATTCATGCTAGGCAAATACTTTGCCAACTTTGCCACGGCTGACTTTATGTCAGTCAGATCTGCCTGTGGGATGAGGCCAGAGCTGTGGATCTCAACCTGAGACTCAACCCCTAGCCAAACCTCTATCTCCAAAATTATTTGATTCATAACAGGAGCAAAATTAGTTGTGAAGTAGCAATGAAAATAATTTATGGTTGGGGGTAACCACAACACGACGGAACTGTATTAAAGGGTAGAAGCGTTAGGAAGGTTGAGAATCACTGAGCTAGAGTTGAAGCTGAGGCCAGGTGTTAGTTAAAAATAAGGGATGAATTGGTAGAGCAGTGAGTGACATGAAGGGCTTTCATCTGGAATAGGGGTAGTGATACATGCTGCCTCCCCACCCATGTCAGCCCACTGAACCCAGAGCAGAAACAGCCCTGGTTCTGACCCCACCCTGCTGAGGCCACCAGGAGGCTGCTGTCCCTAATTAATGGCCTCTGTGATTAAATCATCTCCGGGAACTTGGACTTGGATACCATATTGGGAAGGAAACCAATGAATAATGAATGGGGCTGCCTAATGCATTCATTTAAAACCAATTTCTAAAGGCATTCTCATGAAGAGCAATTAATTCCCATGTAAGTGAACAAGCATGACACTAGGAGGAAAAAAAGAATAAAGTCCTGGGACAAGACTTTATGCTACTAAAAACATCAAAGGCTTGATAGGTGGCACCCACTTGTCATCCCAGTTGAGACCTTGCCTCAAAATCCCAAACAAGAAAAAGGAGTTTGTATGTCTCCCGCCTGTGACTTGTGTTCAAGGTGGTCATGGTCTCAGATATGGAGAATGAGGCTGCATCTGTAAGTTCTACCTTTTGCAGAGTACACTTGTGTCTATAGACAGACATATCCCCGCATGGACAGGTCTGATGTGAACAGGTCTGTCATGAGTGGGCATGGAGTGTTTATTTGGGCCAGAGCATCTTGCAGAACATCTACCCATTGCATCATTCTTACATACATGCACACTTACTGCATACACACACTTGAAATGCACATACATGTACACACACATACACACAAACTACAATGGATGAACAAGCAGTCCTACCCTCACTGCCAGATTCATTAATCTTTATGTATGTGGTGTTGAATTAACCAACTTTCCCTAAATCATAGATGAGCATTTGGCTACAGCTAGGAAGCTGCCATTCCCTACTGCAGCAATAACAGACTCCCATGTCTGGCCTATAGCCAGTTCCCAGTAGCAGGCCTGGGATGGGAACTTGGAGCAGGTGAGGGAAACCACAGGAAGTTAATAATACATGTTCGGGACACTGAGTGGGCTCCTGGGGCACATTTATCTAACACCAATGTTCAGTCTTGGGTTTTCACCACTGTAGAGAAAAATGGAAGGGGTTGGCTGAGGTCCAAAGGGTTAAACCCACATAGAGGGTCCAGATCATACAGAACACAGATACCAAGTCACATGGCCATACACAGGGATGCACAAATTACCACTGTGGTAATTAATACCTGCTTCTCGCAGGCAGTGGTTCAGATGTGGCAGTAGCCCTAGGGAGATCCAGAGTTCTTGCAAGCCAGGACAGGGGTCCTCTCCTTACAGAGTTCCACTGCCACCCTCGCCCACCCAAAGCTGTGACTGCTTGCCTTGAGTACCCACTGGCCACTGGGGGACATTCTGTTGGAGGTATAGCCAACTCAGCTCAGCCTCTGCCTGCCTGAGCTGGGAAGAAACTCATTAAAGCTTCTTAAATGACAAATGCTCCAGCAGGCAGCTGGTAAAGAGTGATTGCTGTAGAAAGCAGCCAGATGGGAACAGGCTCAGGTGATTGTTCATGAGACTCAGGCCTGTGTGGAGGGAGGGTTCCCTTGGGGTCCAGGCTTAATAATGCTCTGGTCCCCAAGCCTTACTGGTTGCAGCCACCCCCATCACTTGTGGGTTAGACAAAAACCTGATTGAATTCTAAGCCCTTAGGCCAAACTAGGCTCAGGGGTGTCTTAGGAGACATGGTCTCTAGATACTGACCCCCTACCCAAGGTAGGAGAGCCCCTTCCTTCTCCCACCAGCTACTTAAAGCAACATCCATTCCCCAGATCCCTCTACCATGATCCCTGTTCTTCTAGGAGCTGACAAAGCCCCCCACCCCTCCAGTGGAAGGGGCCTCTGTTGCCATGGAAATAGCATCTGGAAGAGGCTAGGTCTGATGGCTGAACCCAGAAATAACCATCCCGAAGTGGTGGCAGATGCTGGATGTAATATGTTCTCACCAATAAGTGGTCTCTGTGTGTGCAGGGGATGGATGTGTCAAGGCAGGTGATGAGCCAGGTTCCCCCAGGATCTCTCCAGACCTACCAACCCTGGATGCAGGGTATTGGGGGTGGGGATGGGTATCCTGTGTATCCTTGAATAGTCTCTAAGAGGCTTGGCATAACTGGGTCTGGACTGGTAAGGCCAGCTGCCCTGGGAGTCTAGCTAGTGGGAAAATTTCTTGCCAGCACCCCACATCCTTGAAAAGGCAGCTTTTTAGGGCTGGAGAACAGTTTGGACACTTGGGCTTTGGGCACAGTGAGTGACATTTCCTTCCCTGAGACAGGAACCCCACACCCCTCAGAAAGGTAATGAGATACAGTACCACCAATCAGTGGTTCCAGGTTTAATGAAAGGCGCATGGGGTGCTGTATCACACCCTGAGGCTGAGTTGCTGCATTGCTAGGTGTGGAACATCTGCTTTTTGCAACTGAACAGAGGAATGGAGCATAAAACTAATAAGAAACAAGGCCCTCCTGCCTGCTGCCTCTGGGACCTGGGAGGTGAGGGGTCAGGTCACCTCTGACCCCCTAAGCCTGGGGGCCTCCATACCCCCACTGCCCTTCTGAAGTAAATTCCTTCAGAAGGAACCTGGCTAGGACAGCCCCAACTGGGGGCAAACAGGGAAAAGGAAGCTCAGAGTCCTTATCTCAGAGCTCCCTTCCCAGCCATTTTAGGAATAATAAATACTGTGTGACAGTAGCAGGAAGAGGCATCCATGAACTCCTTGGCAGCCTGAGTAGGCTGGCCAGTTGCTTGCCCTCATTCTGTGCGCAGGATGATATGGATGCCCGAATCCGTGAACACTGGCCCACTCATCTCCCCTGTCCGTAGAGCAAACGATGCATCCTCAAATGGTTTTTGCATCTGACCTGTGTGAAACAGCAGAGGTAGTGGGGGTCAGGCATAGGTTGCAGAGATGGGGCTCCTGCCTGCACCTAGTCTCAAGCGTATTCATCACAGGTTTTATGGCCATGCCACCCTACAGTGCTGAGCTGTGGCCCAGGTGAGGGCCACAGGCCCATTAAGGAGGCTCTGGGAAGCCCAAGGACAGCATGAGGGGTGGCAGGCAGTGCTGTGCTGTGCATTTAGACACAGCATGATGACCTCTCCTGGTTCCCAGCTCAACACCATCTGTCCTGCAGGTAGCTTGGGCTGACAGCAGAGGGCCTTGCTAGGCTCCGTCTCCCAGGCAGGTACCTACACCTAGAACTCCCAGCCCACGATAAGGAGATGAAGGAAAGAGGGGAAGAGGAAGGGATCCTGATTTCCTCTGCCCTAGACAGACAATTCTAAGCTCTGGGTCAACAACTGGACCTGACCTTGCCATTTCCCCCACCTGCCAAAGAGAAGAATATGATTCTCAGGGATCCTGTCCTATAGCTAGATGCCAATGACAGAGTAGAGTCACCTTGATGGGCCTGTGGGGGCACAATGACCCTGGAAGGAAGATACCAGAGAGGTTTTACATCCCTTCTGCAGCACAAACAACAACAACAACAACAAAAAACAAAACAAACAAGAAACCACACAGGAAAGGAAGCCTGAGGGTTATGCTGCCACCTGGTGGATCAGGAAGGCACAGTGTAGGGCTTCTCCCTCTTCATGGGCCCAACCACCCTCAACATTATAGGGAAGGGCTGGGTGGTGCCCACTCTTGCCTACCTCTGCTGAAGGCACCCAGGTCTCCCCTGGCTTTGGCAGAGCTGCAATCACTGAACTGTGAGGCCAGAGATTCAAAGTCTTCTTCTCCTGACTTAATCTTCTGGATATAGCCTGCAGGGACACAAGGGGAGAACCCTTTGTCAGAGACACAGGGAGAGCAAGCTACTCCCAGGAGCCGGGCCAGGCCTGGCCTGTACACCATGTTCCCTATGGCCCCACCCCCGCATGCCCAAGCAATCACACCTGTGCCCTTATCATGTGCACCCATGAAGATAGTCCTCCCACACGCATGCCCCCAGGGTGCAAACCTATCAGCCATCCCCATGTACCTATGGTCCTACTATGACCTTAGCAGCAGCTAGATGCCCAAGAATATAAGGACCCCACACACACTCAGTGGCCTCTTTTCAGCCCTGGACACAAACAGCTGGAACCTCATAGCAGATGACTGCCCACCCCTAGTCCTGGGGCAGTCTAAAAGGCTCTGGAGACCAAAAGTGACTAGCATGCAGCCAAGCTCTGCACATGAGCTAGTGACATCTTCAGCTGTGGGCATCAGGAGTCCCCACCTGTGAAACATGGGAGGCACAGCAGAGCTCTCACTAGGACATTTTGAAGAGACCCTGAGGTGAGGCTGTAAGGGATGTGTGTGAGCACCTGTACAACTGTCCCACAGGCAAGCCACACAACAGGTGCCAAAGTGTAGTGGCAGAGCCCAGGAGGCATTAAAGCATCTCCACTGGGCTGAAGTTCTCCTGCAGGGACAGGAGGTAAGGGCTGCTGGGAGGAACCCTCAAAATAACAATAAAGTCATATGTCACAAAGTCTGACTGAGTTCCATCCCCAGAACCCACAACAGTGTAAGGAGAGAACCAACTCCTGTAAGTTATCCTCTAATCTTCAAACACACTTGCCAATCACCAAATCAACCCAAACAAAATATAAAGGACTTAGTCTCAGGGAAGTGAGACACAGCACCATGTTTGTATGACTTATGTCTCAGGAGCAGGTTGTGCAAGCATGTGGATGCATGTGAAACTGTGTTATGCACACAAAGACATGCTAGATTGGGAGTTGCTAGGCACCTGAGAGGAGTGCCTGAGATGAGCAAAAAGGCCAGTGACACAAAAGACACTATTCCTGCCCAACCTACAGCCATCATACAGACTCCCAGGGCAGCTACCCTGACCGGAGCAGCCTTCATATCTCTCCCAGCTAGGCTGGCAGAGACTCCCCAGGGGACCCTGTCCTTTTATTTCTGAAATAGAGCCTCCTGTGCAGTCTGGGCTATCCTTGGACCCTCAACCTTCCTGCCTCAACTTCTGGAGTGGTGGGGTCACAGGTATGCATTGCTATATTAGGCTCCACAACAAATTCTTTGCAGATGTGAGGGTGGCCTGACACTTCCTGTCTGATCTTCAAAAGGCTTCTGAACACCTGTGAGCTGCCCAGTGTGCACATCACTGAAGGTCCCCACTGTTGCCTGTTTGATGAGAGGCATTACTAGCTGCTACAACCAATGCTTTGAGGTCCAGAAACCTAGCCACATCCAAAGGGCTCTGGGCCTCAGGCTCCTGTAGGGTACCAATGCTTGGCACACAGGGCAGGCAGTATGACTGAGAGCCCAGTAGCCACCCCTTTATGAATGCATTGCAGGGCAAGCTTCCTTGGTGTTTGGTCTATGCACTACCAGGGTACACCTGTCTATCAGAGCTCCCCAACTCCCTCCTGTTCTACCTATCCTTTCTGACTTGGTCGGAACTAGCTGTTAACACAAAGCACTGCCTACAGTTTGTGACAGCCACACAAGGCCATGTGGCTTGACACTTATGTCTGGAAACCACTCCTGGGATTGAGTCCCCTTATGCAGAATGAATCATATCAATACCCTGACCTGGTAAACTCCTGCCTCTCCTCTCCCTGGATGTCTGGCTGTGTTCTCAGCCCCACCTTCACAGCACTGGACTCCCCATGTTCTTCTGTGGAGAGCAAAGGATCTACCAAGAACCCTGCCCACTTCCAGTCCATGTCCACCTAGACATAGCCATAGCCACAGGGATCTGTAGATCGGATAGCCAGGGTTTCTTTTTTTCTTTGTTAAAATTTATTTTTATTTTACGTACATTGGTGTTTTGTCTCCATGTATGTCTGTATGAGAGTGGCATATCTTTGGAGTTATAGATAGTTGCTATGTGGGTGCTGGGAATTAAACCTGGGTCTTCTGGACCAGTCAGTGCTCTTAACAGCTGAGATATCTCTCCATTGTTTCTTATACACTGTGAAGCTAATGCCATTTAATAATGAAAGAACTGGGCTGGGTGGTACATGTCTATAACCCTGGCACACAGGTCACTGAGGCAGTCTGTATACATAAGATACTGTCTCAAAAAAGAAAGGGAATCTAGCCAGGTGCCCTTGTTTACCACTGTTCCCCACCACTGTACCTAGACCTGTGCACAAGACAGGTTTCTAGAGGCCAAGGAATACATGAATAAGTAAAGCAAAGACTAGCCATGAGGAAGGAGATGGGGACCTGTAACGAGTACGGTTTTTCTGCCCGCCGCCGCCTGGTCTTGTCCTGCTGCCACGCCAGCCCCAAATAATACACAGAGACTCTGTATTTGATATTATACTGTTGGCCAGGTACTTGTTTCTTATCGGCTAGCTCTGCCTAAATTATTAACCCATTTCTGCTGATCTACGTATTTCTCTTACCGGGGAGCCGGCGGCATACTGCTTTCTTCAGACTCTCCATCTTGACTCCTCCTTACTACTTCCTATTTCCTCCTTGTCTCCTAGTCCCTCCTATCTTCCTTTCCTATTGGCCAACAGTGCTTTATTATTAACCAGTATGAGAAACATATACAGAATGACATCTCTCATCATCTCCTCTTTTCTGTTTAAATAAAAAGAAGGGGTTTAACCTTAACATAGCAAAATATATAACACAACAGTTATCCAATAAGAATCACAATTAACAATATTTAGTCCATTAACATTTAGCAAGATTAAAGGAAACTATTCTATCATCTATCCTATATTTGTGAATTTAAAGTCCTATATGTATCTTATCTTTAAACCTAACTAAGGAAAACTATAACCATAACTATTTGTCTTCAACTCCATCAAAGACCACAGAAGGATAGTATATAAACTCTAGAAATGACAGAGACAACTTGCCTTTTCAGTCACCCGAAGTTCTTCTGTAATCTTCCATCTTCAGCCCATAGGCCATAGTGTGTCTGACAGACTCTCCAGTAAAGCAGAAAACTTTAAACTGTCTTCTTTTTTGGCAGTTTGTCAGTCACTTTTCTCCGTGTCCTGCATACTGTCTCGAAGACTCTTCCATGAAGCAGGATCTCTGTAGCAATGTCCATCTTGAATCAGGAGTCACTTTCCTGTGGGTCCTGCATGTCCAGTTTATACATCACAAAGTCAAACAGTCCAGACAAGAGCAGTATCTTGTCCAAATGGCTAGTCTTGCCATATTGGAAGCAAACTTCATAATGCATTTCTTCGATGTCCATCTTCCTTTCTGGTGCAGGTGGTATTGCCAAGAGCAATTATGTCTCACTGTCACAAAAACCCTAAACCACTTTAAATGCCATATTCTGTAGGTCTTTGAAAGGTTTGAAGAATTCCTATCTATCTCAAATACATCTCTGTGTATCTTGAAAAACCTAACTAACTTAACTCTGAGCTTTGACTATCATAGGTAATTATCTATAATCTGTACTACATTATATTTCTATATAAACACAATACCTAAACAAGAGGAGAAATACACATCTCACAAAATTGACATTAAATTGTATCAATAAATGAAAATCCATTCCAAAAGTAATCATATCAATACCATAATTCCCTTTTTACCTTTAAAAATAATTGGCTGTGATCATTACCCATTTATAACCAAGTCCATTTAAATGAAAACAAACATTTATAAACAATATTTGGGAATTTGGGCGTCGTTCTTTCCAAACTACTTCCTGTTGATACGTTGGGCGCCATTTGTAACGAGTACGGTTTTTCTGCCCGCCGCCGCCTGGTCTTGTCCTGATGCCACGCCAGCCCCAAATAATACACAGAGACTCTGTATTTGATATTATACTGTTGGCCAGGTACTTGTTTCTTATCGGCTAGCTCTGCCTAAATTATTAACCCATTTCTGCTGATCTACGTATTTCTCTTACCGGGGAGCCGGCGGCATACTGCTTTCTTCAGACTCTCCATCTTGACTCCTCCTTACTACTTCCTATTTCCTCCTTGTCTCCTAGTCCCTCCTATCTTCCTTTCCTATTGGCCAACAGTGCTTTATTATTAACCAGTATGAGAAACATATACAGAATGACATCTCTCATCAGGGACCCATCACTATTCTTCAGACAGAGACACTGCCATCTCTTGCTTCTTGTCACCTGGACCTCTGTACTCAAGGCTGAGGACAGACTTCCTAGACTTTCTCCAGGACAAATTCCAGCCTGAGGAGCAAACAACTCCTCAGAGGGTACCAACCCAATTTGGACAATAGCACCACAGCCAGGACTCTGAGGAGAATCCTGCCTCTTGGAGCAGCATCTCCAGAGCTCCTGCACTGGAAGAGGGCCCTCTATTTGCTTTTTGGAGTTGTGGTGGTTTGAATAGGAACAGTCCCATAGGCTCATAGACTTGAATGCTCAGTCACCAAGGAGTGGAACTGTGTGAAAGGATTAGAAGGCTTAGGAGGTGTGGCCTTATTGGAGAAAATGTATCACAAGGGATGGGCTTTGGGGTTTCAAAAGCCTACACCAGGTCCAGTGTCTCTCTTGCACCTGCCTGCCTGCCTCTGCCTCTCTGCCTGCCTGCCTGCCAATCAGGATGTTCTTTCTCAGCTACTTTGCCAATGCCATTATGATGATAATGGACTAACCTCTGAAATGGTAAGTAAGCCCCCAATTAAAAGCTTTCTTTTGTAAGAATTGCCTTGGTCATGGTGTCTCTCCACAGCAACAGAACAATGACTAAGACAAAGGTGTTCAGGGAGCCCCCTTAACCTGTTAAGGTTAATGTCCACATGCAGACATGTGTGGGTTCAGCAGTCCCTAAGGTCCAGGAGTGAGTCAGGCCCAGCTCTAACTTCAGCCGCTGGGATCCAATCCTGTTCTGTGGTTCCCCAGCATTATGAATATCCAGTAGCCCAGGGGAGGGGTGATTCTGCTTCTGGGAGTCTCATAAAATGACTGGCCTATTAATTGGGGCATTGGAGAGCCAGGGAGATGGTCCAGTGGGTAAAAGTGCTTATGCCATCCCTGACTAAGTTCTATCCTCAGGACCTCCACAGTAGAACAGGAGAACCGACTTCTCCTACAGGGTTTCCTCTAACCTCAACTTGCCTGCAGCAGCATGCCTGCATGCATACAAATTAGTGAGAGTAAAAGAAAAAAAAAAAAAAAAAAAAAAAAAAAGAATGAGTTAATGGGATCTCTTATTTCAGAGGGTTATTCTGAGGCATGAATGACTAACTGCCATAGTCAAGGCTAATGTACAAGTCCAGATATAAATGTTCATTGCTCTGTTAAAGGCTTTATGATAAAGTCCTAATGTTCGCTATGAAGAAGTCCTGGTTCCTGGTATGATTTTCCTTGGAGATAAGGAGTCTACAAGGGTAAACCCTGAAATGATAAGTACTTGTTCATAAAAAGGGACACAGCCAGGCTAAGGTTTTAGTTCAGCTGGCAGAGTGCTCACCTTCCTGCACCAGGGCCTAAGTTCAATCTCCAAACTAGGGATGGCAGCACAAACCTACAACAGGTTAGTTTACTGTTACCTCTGGTTATGCAGGGAGTTTAAGGTCAGTTTGGTCTGCATAAGCTCTATGATTAAAGGGGGCAGGCAGGGCAAGCTTAAAGATAGCCAAGGAGCACCAAAGGACACACAGAAGCAAGACAAGAAAAGCAATCTCAGCAGGAACCTGATGGGGAAAGTAAGAAAGGCAAAGGTCTGTGGTGGCTGGTGAGAGTGAATTCAGAGGAAAAGCATGGGGCACAGACTTTTCTAGAACCGTGACAAAACAAACTTCTGTCACCTAAGCTACTGAGCTTGTGGCACTGTGTTACAGAAACTAAGGGACAGAATTAACCAAAAGGGTGTTTCCTCACCTAAAAGTGTTAGACAATTCCCTTGTCCATTCTGTAGAATCAAAAGCTCTCCCAGATCACAGGTGGCCATAGGGGAAGAGACAGGTCAGGAAAGAGGTAGTAACATCATTGGATATGCTATCCCAGAAGACCCAAGACCCAGCAGGAAGGGCCCAGAAACCCAGCCACAGGCCATCAGGCGGGATGGGCACCACTCTGCCAGAGGAGACAGCTAATCCTTGAAGTCTGGGAAGGGTGCTGCATGCCCTTATTCTGGACCTCCCCAAATTCTCAGGGCCTGTTCACACACAGCCAGGCTGCCTCAGACAAGGACATGCTGATGACACCAGCTGGGCCTCAGGTTTCTTTTGGCAGTTGCCCAGCAGCTATAGAGGAACCAGAAGGAGCAGAAGCGGGGATGCAGAAGTGCCGCTTCCAAAACAGGCAGTTGTTTCCTGAGGGCAGAAGGAAACTGATGGCACCCTCCAGACCAAGGCAGGCAACTGGTCACTCCAGTTGGCAAGTAGAAGAGAGGGACCTACATGGGCCCAGCTCATCCCAAGTGTAGGCACTTCTTTTCAAGGTCTTCAAGTAGCCTAGGCTGGCCTTGAACTCAATATGTAGGACCTAGAACTTAAAAATTTTGCAAGGGCTGGAGAGCTGGTTCAGAGGTTAAGAGCACTTATTGCTCTTCTAAAGGTCCTGAGTTCAATTCCCAGCAACCACATGGTGGCTCACAGCCATCTATAACGAGATCTGGTGCCCTCTTCTAGTGTGCAGACATCCATGCAGGCACCGTTGACATAAATAAATCCTTTTAAAAAAAAAACTGCATTTATTTGTGTTCATGTGACAGTGTTTTCACTAAAGTCAGAGGGACAACTTCAGGAAGTTGATTCTTTCCTTCAACTATGTAGGTCCCAGGAACTGAATTCAAGCTCTTTGCCCACTGAGCCATGTTTCCAGCACCAAGATTGAATTTCTGATCCTTCTGACTATCTCTATGCTGAGATTATAGGTATCAGGTGCACAGGGTACTAGAGACTGAAGCTAGGGCTCCCTGCAAACTGGGTGAGCATGCTAACAACTGAACTACACCCTCAGTTCAATACTAGCACTTCTCTAGAAGTTAAGTTAAGCAGACTTGGTGGAGGACCTGGTGGGTCTTCTAAAAGGCCCCCATGGTGGGTAGTGCTTATTGTCAATGTGGCAGAATCTGGAATAACCCTGTGGGAACTATGGTGGTTATGCTAGCTGATATGAGGTGACCCATCTTACTTGCTGGCAGGACTATCCCCCTGGGTAGGGGATCCCAGCCTAAAAAATAGAGAAGGCAAGTTGAGCGCTAGTACAGACAGTATTCTTTGTTCCCGACAATGTTGTGATGCCACTCATTCTTGCCACTGTGACTTCCCTGTGGTGAACTGTAACCTGGAACTGTGATGTGAGCCCAAACAAACTTTTCTCCCTTAAGCTGATCATCATTTTTAAAAAAGTTTACATTTATTCACCGGGAAGGTGGGATGGACAGCACAGCAGCACATGTGTCATGGTGGGCTGGCAGGTGAGAGGACAACTCCCAGAACAGGCTCTCTCCTTCTACCACACATCACCGGGAATGGAATTCCAGTCTCCAGGGTTAGCAGAAAGTGCTTTGCTGGCTGAACCCTGCTGCTGGTCCTTATCAGGGTATTTTGTCACAAAACAGGAAAAGGAACTGAGATAGCCTCCCCCACCCACAGAGGACCCCAACAATCCCCCATCTCCACCACTCACCATTGATCAGCTCCAATGCCTCTTCCTTGCTCCTAGTGATCTTTTCCTGCCGCCAGGATGAGGGCCTCCGAGACTGGCTGTGCTTCACCAGTAGATGCGAGCAGCGCACCCTGGAAGGCTCGCCCTGGCCATTCTTGCTACTACCTCCAACACTGCCGCCGCCACTGGGCCGTTCCCACTGGCTGGCATTGGTGATGTGGTTGAAGTAGTATACCCGGCCTGGGGGAGAGCAGCACCTATTTAGGTAAGGCTGGGTTAAAGAGGACTCCACCCTGAAAGCCAGCGTGAGGACTGGCTTGGGAGGCTGCTGTCCCCACCAGGACCTGTCTCAGACAGGATTGTGCTCATGCTTTAGGTGGATACAGACAGACACTAAGCCAGCAAATCAGAAAAAAACAGCTTCCAGGTCTGCAGAATGTCTCAGCAGGGAAAGGAACATGCCAGAGTCTGATAACTTCAGTTTGAACTTTAGGAACTGCCTAGTGGAAGGAGAACCCACCCACCCCCAGGTGTCCTCTGACATGTAAACAAGCCAACCTCCAAAATAAATAAGATCAAAAGTTCAAGAACACTCTCAGCTATAGAGTTTGAGAGCAATGTTGGCTACAAGGAATCCAATTTTAAAAATATACAAACAACAGCCAGGTAGTGGTAGCACATGCTTTTAATTCTAGCACTCAGTAGGCAAAGGCAGGTAGATCTCTGAGTTCAAGACCAGCCTGGCCTACATAGAGTTCCAGGACAGGCTCCAAAGCCACAAAAAGAAACCCTGTCTACAAAACCCAAACAAAAACAAAAACAAATACTATGGGGCTGGGCACCTAGCTTAACGATACAGTGCTTGCCAGGCATTTGTGAAGTTCTAGGTTCAAGTTCAGTATCATACATTCACCAAAAAGGTAAATATGACTGTTTCTATCCCTCACTCCATTGCAAACAAAACCCAGGCATCACCCCCTCCATCTCTGCTCACAGCAGCAGCAATTATATCTTGTGTACAAGATACCTCAAAGATCTATGGGGGTGTTTTAAGACTGGGTTTCTCTGTGTAGCTCTCTCTAGCTGTCCTGAGACTCACTCTGTAGTCTAGGCTGGCCTCAAACTTATGGAGATCCCCCTGCCTCTGCCTCCTGAATGCTAGGATTAAAAGTATGTGCTACCACTGCCGGGCCCAAAGCTTTATTCTTAATCTCTACCCTGGTGGCCTAAATTGAACAGCAAGGAAGCAGTATTATTGGAGGGCCTGGTGCCATCTAAGAGACAGTGAGAAGCATAAAGGAGACAGTCAATGAAAAACTTGAGGGAAAAGCCTGGCTTGATGGGACACAGTCTAGCACTAGGATGAGGCAAGAGGATGGGTGTCTGCTGTTTGAAGCCTGTCTGGGTCTCCAAAGAGCAAAGGAGACCTGGCTGTGGTGGTATACACAGGTAAGATTTGCTGAAGGAGGTAGAAGCAGGAAGATCACAAATTCCAGGCTAGCCTGGGCTACACATTTTTATTGCCTGGCTAAATCCTAGCCTTTAATCCTAACACTCAGGAGGCAGAGGCAGGTAGATATCTGTGAGTTCAAGACCAGCCTGGTCTATAAAGTAAGTTCTAAGACAGCCTGGTCTACAGTTCCAGGACAGCCAGGGTTACACAGAGAAACCCTGTCTTAAAAGACCAGGAAAAAAAAAAAAAAAGGGCTGGATATTCACGAAAGAAGGCTATCATAGTCCCACAGAATAAATGGCAAGAATTGGTCCACTGCTAAGTAGAGGGACAGGATTTTTTGTTTATTTTGCTTTTTAAGAGTCTCACTATGAGGACTAGAGAGATGGTTCAGAGATTAAGAGCACAAACTGCTCTTCTTGGGAACAGGGGTTCAATTTTCAGCACCCACATGGAGGCTCACAACTATCTGTAATTCCAGTCTCAGGACATCTAGCACCATCTTTAGGCTTCTCTGTGGGCACTACATACACATGGTGACACAATGCAAGCATAATACCCAACCACATTTTAAAAAAAGCTTATGTAGCCCAGGTTAACTATGAACTGGAGAATCTCCTGCTTCTGCCTCTTAGGTGCTGGAAATATATCTATGTGCTACCACATCCACCTACAAGTATGTTTATGCTTAGGCCAGGAATGAAGCAGCCTGGATAGGAGCAAGGACTCACGGGCTAAATCCAACTAAAACTTTAGTGATAGGCCATCTCCCTGAACCTCAGCTTTCTCATCTGAATAACTGGGATAAGAGAATAAGGACATCAGAACTAGGTGCAGTGGCACATGAGTGCAGCCTCAGTGCTTGAGAAGATGAAACAGAAAGACCATGAGTTGGAAGCCAGCTTGGGTTAAACAGCAAGACTTTTATCTTAGTGTGTGATGATAATCTATCCAGCACTCCGAGAGGTGAGGGAGGACAACCAGAGGTTCAACGTTATCTATCCTAGGATTGGCAGCAAGTTCAAGACTAGTCTGCTCGAGTGCATTCTCTCTCGCTCTCTTGCGCACTCTCTCTCTCTCTCTCTCTCTCTCTCTCTCTCTCTCTCTCTCTCTCTCTCTCTCACACACACACACACATTTTAAAAAGAAAAAAAAAATAGCTCTGTGGGTAAATGTGCTTGCAGCCAAGTGTGAAGATGTGAGTTTGATTTCAAGTACTCTCATGGTGGAAAGAAAAAAACTCCTGCAAGTTATTGTCTGATCTCCACAGGCATACACAATAAATATACCACTACTACTATTATTAATAAAGATTCTGTCTCAATAAGTAAATTGGGTAAGATGGTGCATGCTTGTAATCCCAGCATTTTTGTTTTGTTTTGTTTGTTTTTCGAGTCAGGGTTTCTCTGTATTACTTTGGAGCCTGCCCTGGATCTAGCACTGTAAACCAGACTGGCCTGAAGCTCAGAGATCTGCCTCTGCCTCAACCAGTGCTGGGATTAAAGTGAGCCACCAATGCCCGGCTTAATCCCAGCATTTGGGGCTAAAGCAGGAGAATCGAGCAACCTGTCCATATGAGATCCAGTCTAACACCCTTCCACCCCCCTCCTCCCCCACAAAAGGGTGAAAGACACATTAAACCTAGCCGCGTTAATTCAGAGAGAGCTAATACAGTGTACAGCACCCTGATGCTCAGTAAGAATTATAAGTGAGTTCTATAGGCAGCAGGACCCTGGCTCTACCCGAAATGCCTATCTGCTCCTCTGGGCGTTGCCACTGACACTGGCAAGGGGACTCTGGGGACAGGAACTCACTGCATCATTTGGTGAGTATCCTCTGTGTCCTGGCCTCAGTTTCCTCGCTAGCAAAATGAGAGCAATTTCTCCTTGAAAGATAGGCACAACAGAGAGTGGGGAGAGGAGGAGAATGAGCCAAGGAAAAAGGGAGAGAGGAAGGAGGGGGCAGAGATGGAGGAATCTAGGGAGGGTAAGGGATAGGGGAGAAAGAAACCACACGGACGTACAGACTTGTGAAGGAACCTGAGCTCCTTTAAGTCATCACTGTCGCAGGATCCCGTGCTGCAGAGGAGCGGGCACGTGTTACAGATGCTGTCCGAGAACTCAAATCAGGGCGGCCCACACCCTCTAGAGGCACCGGGTCGGGGTCTCTTCCTCCCAAAGGAGCCGCGAGGTGCAGCCTAGTCTCCTAAGGACATCCGGGCCTAGTGATGAGCGACGGAACGGGCGTGCACCATCTCTTGCCTCAGTTTCTGGCTCTCCGGGCCCGTTAAGCCGCGGAGCCCAGACCTTCACGCCTAAGGCAGGGCGGCGATGCGGCCCGCCTGTCCCCGTGAGCTCGAGCCCAACTTCTGCAATCTCGCGAGGCCCCGGCCGGGCCCCAGACCGACCCCCAAGACGTACCTGAGCTGCGACTCATGCGCTTCTCCCAGCCCGGCGGCAGCTTCTCCTCGTCCGCCATCTTCCCTCCTGCCGCAGAGCCCGCTCCGCCTCCGCAGCTCTGACCCCGCGCCAACCCTGCGCCAATGTCGATTGGCTCGTCCAGTAGAGACGCCCGTTGGACGGCCCCTCGGCACCGCTAGGGCTCTAGCATTTTATTGGACTCACTCGCGGTTTCCTGGACCGCCCCCCTACAACACTCTCCGCCCCTCGTCCCGACACCACTGCTGATTGGCTCATCTGGAAGCGACGTCCATTGAACGCTCAGGATTCCTTTAAGAGTCAAAAGGTCTCTGCAACCTTCTTGGTGGGTCTAGCCCCAGAGTAGAGCTTAGTGATTGGGTCCTGCAGCAACCAATCCCGCCTTATTGAGCCGTTCTCGGTGGTTGGCCAGCCTCCACGCGGACGCAGCTCGCTCGTGAGGAGGCATTTGGTACTTTCACTGTATCTTGCTGTTGCCATAGCAATGCAGTTGCCTTGGTGACAAGAAGCCAAGTGCCCAAAGCCTAAATTTGGCTTTTTAGTTCTCCCTCTTCCCACCTGTTTCCTCCAAAGCGAAGCCAGTCCTTTTTGTTTTTTTCAAGGCTAACCATTTCAACTGGTCTACTCACTCCAAGTCGTCTTTAGAACCTACTTCAATTTATTCCTTCTCCACGTGACTCCTTCCTAGCTTCCTGGGCTGGGTCACTAGGATGAAGAAAGGGAGGTGAGGGTGATCGGCTCCGACGACAGGTGTAAGTCAATTGACAGTCTATAGAGGAAACTGACATGGTGGTGCATTCCCAGCACTCAGGAGACAGAGGCAAGACGATTTCTGAGTTCGAGGCCAGCCTGGTCTATGAAATGAGTTCCAGGACAGCAAGGGCCACACAGAGAGAGCCTATCTCAAACAAAACAAAACAAAAGTAATAACCCCCCCCCCAAAAAAAAAGAGAAGGAAAAAATGTCTGTGGAGAGTTAAAGAGATAGCTCAGTGATTAAAAGCATGGACTGCTCTTCCATGGACCTTTTCAATTCCCCAGATGTGCACATGGTGCACATTCATGTATACATGCAGGCAAAGCATAACATATTAAAAATATTACTTTATGCCAGTGATAGCAGCACACACCTTTAATCCTAGCACTTGGGAGGCAGAGGCGATAGGATCTCTGAACTTGAAGTCAGCCCAGTCTACAGAGGGAATTCCAGGACAGCCAGAGTTACACATAGAAACTCTGTCTCTAAAAACCAAGAAATTACTTTAAAAAACTATTACACTGGGTCTGGGGAGATGACTCAATGGTTAAGAGCATGCGCTCATGAAGTTCAATTCCCAGCAACCACATGGTGGCTCACAACCATCTTTATGAGATCTGCTGTCCTCTTTTGGCCTGCAGGGATGCATACAGAATACAGTGTTGGACCCTAATTCTGGGGTCCTGATGGGCCTGATGGGCGACACAAACACCAAAACCAGGAGATGCAACAAGCAAGAGGTGTTTATTGAACAAGTGCACTCGGGTGACAGCAATCTCGGGGAAAGCTGCACGTCCCCCAAAGGGTCCAGGTTCTTTTTATAGAGAAGACCACAATCAGCATACATGCATGGGACACAAAGTAATTGATTAAAAATTATGATCGCATGTTTGAGAGATCTCCCAGGTATGACCTGTTCTTATTCAAGGGATGACTTGGAAAGAATGACTTGGAAAGTCCCCAGACTGTCCATTGGCCAGGAATGATCCAGACAGGGCTGTTCATCTGGAACCATTTGTTCCAGGGTTGGGGGCCTATTTCCTTGTTGTGGGCCAAGACCTGTGAGAAACTTTTTTTCATACTCTGGCTTTCTCTTGGCTGTACATCTAGAGCCTTCAGTTATTCCACAAACGTTTGATGATTTACTAACTAGCCCTATTTAACAAGATCAGTCTAGCATATAACCATTAGCCCCCATCACCACAGTAACCTTTCTTGTTCTCATAATTTCTGTCTTTTCCTCCCATGTCAACGTCCATTCTTTATGATTTTCTATATTCCACTTGCAAGAATTATTCTCTTGCCCCTTTCCCACATCCTTGCTCTGCAAACTAAAATCTTTCAACTGTATATATAATAAAGTAAACAAATCTTTTGTTTTGTTTTTTCTGAGGCAGAGTTTCTTTGTATTGCTTTGGAGCCTGCCCTGCAACTCCCTCTGTAGACCTGGCTGGCCTCAAACTCACGGAGATCTGCTTGCCTCTACCTCCAGAGTGCTACCAATGCCTGGAAAAATAAAGAAATCTTTTTTAAAAAACTATTATATTTCATAAGAGAGGATGCCATGATAACTATGTAGTTAGAGGGCAATTTATGGCAATTTCTTCTCTCCTTCCACCATGGGGTTCCACAGGTCAAACTAAAGTTGTCAGGCTTGGTAGCAAGTGCTTTTACTCATTTTGCTGGCCCTGGATACTTAGTGATTTTCAAAGACACCAATGGGGGAAGATTCAATTCCAGTTCATCAATAGTGTGGACCCTATGTGACCTCAAAAGGATGATGCTTAGTGATGTGAACTCATGAAAGGGGGTTAAAAGTAAAATGTGGTGCTTGGGTTCAAAGCTTGGCTCTACCACTGGCTGTGAACTGTTTAGCCTCAATGATTCAGTCTCTCCCGCTGCAAAATGTAGATAACTGATAATACATCTTGCCGATCAAATGACTTATCCCTATATAAAGTCCTCAGGAAGCCAGGTGTTGGTGACACACACCTTTAATCCCAGCCCTGGGGAGATAGAGCCAGGCAGATCACTGTGAGTTGGAGGTCAGTGTGGTCTACAGAGTGTTTTAGGACAGCCAAAACTGCACAGAGAAAACCTGTCTCAAAAAACCAAAATAAAATAAAGTCCTCAGGACAGGTAGGAGTTAACCAGAAAAAAAAAAAAAAAACTTGCTGGGTGAAAAAAAAGCAAAGCACAAGATACATAGGAATTACAGTATGAAAGCATGGGCCAAAGAATGGGTAACAGGATTTGCTAACAAGCCTTATGGTTTGACACAAAAGACTATGAGTTTGAAGCTAGTTTGGTCAATATAGTAAGCACAGACAGCCACAGTCTCAAAACAAATAAGTAAAATAAAAAAAGAATAGTCCAGAGTGAGTTCAAATTCCAGTAATGAAGGAATTACATAATTACATGACAAATTTAATAATGTTACTTCCTTATTTCAAGCCAGTGCAGAAGTATATAGGCCAGATAAGAGGACTCACTACATTCTTCCCAGCCAGATCTACTCAATGCACTTACATAAAGTTCCAATAAAACTGTTTGGTATATGTAGGATGTGGTGTGCATGCCTTTATTCTCAGAACTCTGGAGGTAGGGGCAAGTAGATATCTGGGTTTAATGCCAGCCAGATCTATTTACAAATTCCAAATTGGCCAGAGCTACATACCAAGATACCAATAACCTGTCTCATGAAAAAACAAACAACAAAAACCTCACCTCAAACCAAATAATGTTTATTACTAACGTGAGTGTATGGCCTGGTGCATGTATGGCCAGGGGGTAGCTCTGTTATGGAGTTAAAAACCCAGAGATCGCAGCATGACCAAAGTTCAAATGGAGAGTCTGTATTAAGATGGCTTGAGACTGCCTGGAGAGAAACCCTTTTCACAGAACAGCTCTGAATGCACATTACAAGGAAGTTTTAAAGACAAAGAACATAGAAAAACTACATCCTGGTTGGCAGATGCAGAGGAAGCAAGCAAGCAGTTTAACAAGAGCCAAAAGCATGCAGTTTGCTGGGGCATTACAACCCTGAATTTCTAGATCAGGGCTGGGTGCTTTTCCATGGAACTTTTCAGGGCTGAAGGTAGAAACTAAAGATGGCTTCAATTGAGATGAAATGGAGAAACCTTTACCCAGTTACAAGCTCTACGTAGTTGGTTCTTTCTCTCCACCTTTCCATGAATTCCAAGGCTGGACTTAGTTCACCAGGCTAAAGTAGAAATACCTTTGCCAGTCCAGCTATCCTACTGGTCTTTTCTTAAAACAAAACAAAACACTATGCAGGTTAGTGAGATGGCTCCATGGGTAAAGTGTTTGATACACAACTGTGAAGTTCTGAGTCTAAATCTGAAGAACTCACATAAAGCTGGAAGCAGTAGTAACAAGCAAGCTACAGTAACCATATTTCTAGATCCAGGAGGAGACAGTGACAGCAGAAGTCCTCAAAGCTCCTGTGATAGCTAATCTTGATTGTCAACTCAACTACATCTGGAATCAACTAAAAAGAAAGCAGTGGGCACACCTGTGAGGGGTTTTCTTGGATGGCGTGGTAGTTTGAATGTAATTGGCCTCCATAAGGTCATAAGGCATGGTACTATTGGGAGGTTGTGGCGTTGTTGGAGGAAATGTATCACCATGGAGGCAGGCTTTGAGGTCTCATATATGCTCAAGTCACACCCAGTATATCAAACCACTTCCTGTTGCCTAAAGGTCAAGATGTAAGAATTTCCAGTTCCTTCTCCAGCACTATGTCTGCATGCATGCTGCCTTGCTTCTGCCATAATGATAATGGGCTAAGCCTCTGAAACTGTAAGTGAGCCACCCCAAGTAAATGTTTTCCTTTATGAGAGCTGTCATAGTCAAGGTGTCTCTTCACAGCAATAGAAACCCTAAGGCAGTTGGATTATTTGAGGTAGGAGACTCACCCTAAATCCAGGTCATTTGAGGGCAGAAACCCACACTTAATCTGGGCTATACCTTCTGGTGGCAGCCCATATAAAAGAACATGGAAAAAGGAAGCTGTTGCTTTTAAATTACTTGTCCTCACTTTCACTAGCAAGTCCATCTGTCCTATTCTTGAAGCAATACTTTGCTGGTTTTAGTGCCCACTTCCAACACAGACTGGCAACTGGCAGCTTTCTAGGACTTCCCTGGGACTCTAGCACCAAACTGGGACTGCTGAGACATCCAGTGAACTGAACAGCTTCTAGATCCTTGACCTTTCCCTCAGGAGATGGCCATTGTTGGATTACTCAGATCAAAGCTGTAAGCACTCTAAAAAAAAAAAAAAAATCTCATACATATGCATATATTTGTCTTTTCTATCAATTCTGTTCCTTTAGAGGACTTGATTAATGTAATTCCCAAATCAG